CGAATGTTCCAGCGAAGAAACCCACAACAGCAAAAGTGCTGTACAGGGCTGTGTTGGCGTGGTCTTGAGCCTCATTGGAGACCAGACCACCGCCGAGACCAGTCAGGGCGTTGAACATGCCGGGACACAGGAAGCAGATGAGAGAGACCATCAGCAGCTGGACTTTTGGTGAAGCGTACCAGAGCTGGAGACGGCCGAGTTTGAGGGTCTTGTACATCCATCCCTTTGGGCGGAAGCCGGGGGTATCTGAGTCTGCGCTTTCTGAAGCCGCTTGCGCGACGGTGTTGTCTTTTTCGTGAATAGACATTGTGAATGTGAGTATGATGCGAGGGAGGCAAAGTGAGGTGTTGAAAGGGTCAATGCCCTGTGTAAGACAATAGGATGCTTCTAAGAGCAGTAGATGATCAATTGATCAAGCAAACGAAATAAACGATGAACGCAATACGATACAGAATTGTCAAATAATTCTCGGATGTCGCAGAATTAAAGTAGTCGAGAGAAAAGATGGAGAGATCAGGCACGAGACTACTACGAGACCAAAAATAACCCACCCCTGTCAACTGGAGAGGATTGTTACAGAGTCTGCAATATCACGAGAAGGAGAAAAAGTAAGGAAACGATTGTCAGGGGTCTGGGGTCTTTCATCAAGTGAGTTGAGGGTGGTGTGGGATTGTAAGGGTGGTGCGGGTTAGCTACAAGGGGGGAGATGCAACATGTCGATCCGCTTACAGTGGCGCATCACCAAAAGCTCCATATCGGCCGAGGCCGAGGCAGAGGAATAGCATCGTTTGTGGAGAGGGAATTGTATGATTGTGGAGGAAGAAGATAAGGTACTTTATGAGAGCTAAGATATATGCTCTGAAGCAACAAGTTGGTCATGAAAACCGAGTAGAATGAGGAGTCAGGTTCACTACAAAATTAGAATAATTGTTCTGTTGCTCTCGGCCGAGATATAAGTGCTTTAAAGCAATCCTGAGTGCCCAGTCCAAGAATAAGTGTCAGCACTCTTGCTATACTGGGCAAAAACTCAGACATGCTCAAAGTCTTGTCCCAAAACGTCTGCATAAGTTCAAGAGTCGCAGATGGCGTATCCACATGCAGACAGATCACGTATCGTCTTCCTGGGGAAGAAGCTCTCACTGGTGAGAGGCTGACGTCCATCTCTGCTCACGGCATCAGACTTCAGTGGCTGCCCCTAACGGAAACGTCCGCAGCAGAGATGGGCCCTAATCGGCAACCAACCAGCAGATTTAGCTCCGGAAAGATGATATTCTACGGAGAAGAAAAGAACCCGATGTTTTGGGCTGTGATTAGAGAGAGTCTTCAGTCTCATTCGCCACGACATGTGCTGATGCTGCGTGTTTATCTGGGCATTGAGTTTACAAAGTTAATCTTTTAGCTACACTGAGAACTCTCGTTAATCTCATTGCTTTCATCACGGCTCATGCTAAAGCAGATGGCAGTGAAGATATCATGCTTTTTGTATGCCGATTCCAGTCAAGGACGTTTTACGATTTTAGCTTCAGTCAACAACCCCTCCGAACCCCAGATCATTTTTAGAGCCCTCCAGGGGAAAGGGCCGAATGGAAGGCTCCGTGATTGGCTAAATAATCCCCATCTCCAGACTCTACAGAGGAAACTGGTTTAATGGTCCATCTGATCGCATCTTGCCAACTGCACGCAGTCTATTCTTCTAGAAAACCTCGATATAGATATAGAGACGCTGACACGAATATGCACCTTCAATACGAGAATGACTGTCTTACCATTATTGTACTGCACCAATCAGCCCTTCGAGTCCTCTCGCCCCAGGCCTCATACCAAGCCCCGTAATTCCCGGCAATGCCTTCTTTTCTCGTAACATCCGATATCCATCGTAATAAACTGGACGATTAAACTAGCCCAGGAATTAGGGCACTGCAGCTATCTTGGAAGCTCTGACCACGCCAGTTTAATTTATACCCGCATGTAACGTTTCGCTCAACTGCGGATATCGAAAGGTCACGGACTTCCCGTTGCCGTTCCACCGTTTGATTCCCGCAAGTTTACTTTTGTCAGCTACATTAGCATTTGTTGGGGTTTTGATCCTGTGACTCAATTCGAGGGCTGGTGTTATCTAAGAATGAATCGAGATAAAAGCGGCCGCTTGTAGATAAAAAAGCTCCGCAATCCCCTGATTGTAGTGGGTTATAGATACTGGAATGGGGAACTCGCACGATCGTTTTGATTGCTCATATCGCATGCTGTGCAATTGGACAGCGAGCTGTTCATGATCTGGTTGTTGCTGGAACGACCCTGCATACAACAGCCGCCGGTTGAGATGCATGGGTGATCGGCAACCCATGCTATTGATCGATATCATGACAATTTGCAAACAATTCATGTCAAATTTTGCTATTTCTTAAGACGTGTACCTTGTATATATAGTGGTTGGCATGCTCTTTTCTGACCATTGACTATCTGGCGTTCGCGAGGCGAGTCTGATTCAACACGTCTCTTACGCGGCAAAGCTTGTCGCCTTCGTGTCATGATTATAGCAATGGGAAATAATATCAGCTCAGTAAGACTCGGCAGGAACTCCTTTAATAGAGATCGTGGTCGGTGTCCTAACCGCCAACAGTTCAATGATGTCAAAACTTGCTGTAATCAATTCATTTGGGTTTCGAGTAGTAGCAAAGTTGAACAACTTCAGCTGTCTGTAAGAACGCCGAGCAGCACTTTATACAGCCAATGTCGCCTTTCTGATATGATCCAAGCACTCTGTATCGTGTTAGGCACTCAAAAGTCGTTTACAGGCATCGACCAAGTCACAACATCTTACATATAAACATATCCTAGCTCTTTTCGTAAGTCGTACCCTGAGAGATGTAGTGTTGAATACACTGCGAGACCATGATTATGTGTTGAGAGCTCCACTTCATCAACCGATTTAACAGTGTAGATGATAGCTGTCAGCTGAGCCATCAACAATGCATGGTCATTGACGGATCCAACTGGTGGCCTGGCTGTTTATGCATCGGTAGGCAAGCAATGCTTGACTTAGATAGGCTGGATTGTACGATTTACAGTGTGAATGAGAAACCCTGATGGCTTGCTTCTCACTGGTCGGTCATGAAAGCCGAGAATTTCTCAATAAGGTGAATATGTAGTGTACAATCAAATATCGAAATATCTAAACAGTGAGATCTCGACTAAGACAAGATCTGCCAATTGAAAATGCACTTGGATCCTAATCATAAACAAAAGAGATGGCAATTGTCCTTTCAATGCTATTATTTGTCACAATTGCCATGATTTTGGTTCCATACACTTTTGTACCTCACGTGAACCTGACAAATTCTCAGTCTCCTATTGGCTCGGACAAGGTCGGGGCGCCACCCTGACGTACCAGCGGTCTCCGGGTGCAATCGCCTTTTAGCACCGAGGAGCCCGGCTTTGAAATCATATCCACTAAGTAGCCACTCAACTTCAACAAACGCCTTCGAACCGAACCTCAACATCACCCAATTCATACCTCCCATGCTCCGAATATGTTCGCCTCAAGATCGGTAGCAAGAGTCGTCCTGCGACGAGGATGCAATTCCCTGCCTCTGAGGCATTTCTCCACGTCTCGGCCCGTCGCTGTCGCCTACCACTCATACACTCTTCCCACCCACAGCTCAACACCTCCGAGGAATGACGACGTCCCCGAAACATCAATAACACAACCCGACCCTCTTCCTAAAGTCCACGAGACACGACCGCCTCCTCAACAACCACAGCATCCTCAGCCGCCCAAGCAGCAAGAGGTTACATCATCACAGAATGCTTCTCCCGCCACACCAAAGACATCCTCGGCACAAGCTCCGAAGCTAAACGAGAAGGAGGCACAGAAGCCAAAGGCAGCCCGACCAAGGCCCAAGCTACGTCCGCGAAAGGCGGCGATGAAGTTGACTCCTTCTGCGGTGGAACAATTGAGGGAACTGCTCGATCAGCCCGAGCCCAAGTTGATCAAGGTCGGCGTACGGAACCGAGGTTGCAGTGGCTTGGCGTATCATCTCGAATACGTTGAAAAGCCCGGTGCTTTCGACGAGACAGTTGAGCAGGATGGTGTCAAGGTTTTGATCGACAGCAAGGCGCTCTTCAGCATTATTGGAAGTGAGATGGACTACGTTGAGGACAAGCTTAACCAACGCTTCGTGTTCAAGAACCCCAACATCAGTAAGTCACCACATAACTTTGAGTGGCAGCATATGATGCTAACCAAATTTCAGAGGAAGAATGCGGCTGCGGAGAATCTTTCATGGTTTAAATTGGTATTCGGCGTTTGGTCAAGGCATCAATATATCACGAAACGAAACCATTTTCATGAGACGACGTCATTCGTGCTTGGACACGATATGGATCTGAGAGAAGTATGCACGGGCGTCTCATCATCATTTGGCACAAGGACTATCACGAACAAGGACGTGCCAATTAGGCCGACGGATAGAATGCATAGAAGCATTTGCGAGTTGCGTCTTGTAAAAACTGAAACAGGAGCCGACGGGCGTAGGCACGGGAGCCAGGACCACGAATCGGCATAATCATCGGCGTTGGGTTAGACTGAGATATCACCTATATGGGAAAATTCCTCATACATAAGTACATACTATATGTACCAGTCAATAGGCAGTTGTACCAATTCAAAAGAAGCAAATCTGGAACCAACTGAAGAGTTATGCTCACTTGTTTTTAAGTTGAAAGCCTGTTGATCAAAAGAATGCTAAAAGAGAAGGTTTTGTCAATCTGTTTTAACCTTAAGAATTGAGTCTGCTATTGCAAATGACCTCTTCATACACACTCAATTTTCAAGGTTAAGAATTAGTGACTAACAGAATAGCTCGCAGTCTCTGTCTGTGGGCCTAGAGACGACGGTGTGGATTATGCCTCTGTGGATGGGGATGGCTGGTCGAAGTTCTGACAAGACACGAAACCTGAGAATATATACTATATGTCAAGAAAACGCTTCAACAACAACAGCCAAGGTGGCCGAGTGGTTAAGGCGCTGCACTCAAGATTTATCAGTCTTTCTCATACAACATGGGACGCATTGCAGTATCGAAAGATGCTTGGGTTCGAATCCCAACCTTGGCAGCGATGTTTTTTGGGCATCTCGTGTCTTCTTCACCTGAGAGGCGAGTTTGGGAATTATCCGCCCCTCCTCACACATCATTTTTTGCCACAACGGAAAGCCAAACTTAATTTTAACTTATCTTTTCTATATGATACCCTCAGAGCTATTTTAAAGACTGACCACCTGCAATACTGTGTGGCTGCTATACATAACACCGTAAACTTGTGAAATTTGCCAACCTTGCTTAGAGTAGGACGGACTAATGCAAGCCCTTAGGTTTGCGCGGCTAGTACCGTAAACTCTTTCGAAATTAGCTGCATTAGGGTGGAGCTACCTAGGCAGGTCCTAAGTCCACTTGCGCGGCCATTAGTGGTTGATTCTGCTGAGATTCGCTGAATCAGCTCGGATTTTTTATTTCCCCTACTCCCCACCCAGCCGCACTCAGTGGCGCCGGCTAATTTTTCACGATAATCTACTATATAGGGTAGTGGTTAATCCTGCTGAGAGATGCGGCGCTTTTGTTTCTTCTTCTTGCTTGTTTTATTCCGAAGGGAAGAATAAGAACCTTATGCTGAATTTATACAAGGGGAACAGCAGAGCTTTTCTACACCCCGCAGAGTAGTGAGCTCTACGGAATGTGTGTTGACTGTTGGCGCAAGATGGACTTGTCGCATCTTTTGAGAACGCCGACCTAGCCGCACTGAGTAGTGAAGTAAGCCTGGCAAGTCCTCAGAGTATATATATATATGGTAAATATGCACAATATTGATCACCAACCAAGGTGGCCGAGGGGTTTAAGGCGTTGCATTTAAGTTTCAATCTCCTCAAGATTATTCTGCAATATCGAGAGATGCCTGGGTTCGAATCCCAGCCTTGGTAGTTATTACTTTTGCTTTCTTGTCAGCTTTTTGTCGCCTGGTTTATTCCTTTTGTTTTATATCTCCTTGGTACTTTTCCCAATAACATCAGGTCTTGTTCCCAAAAGGATTTAATATTTACTGGCGGAATATTGCCCTAGACTTAGTACTTGCTGTCTGTCTATGTATCTAGTTGCTTCTTATAAATTTAGATCGCATAGGAAGCCAGTGTGGTTGTGTAGTGCTGATCACATGACCTCGCGATGTGTTGCTTTAGATGTTGGCGTTGACCGCGCCTTTTGTTTGATATGACGCATCCTTTAAATACCTATGAATAAACCTCCATAGCTCCCGTTCTGTATCAATAGTGGTATTATCGCAATCTGTCAAACTACGAAGCCTCTCCGTTCACAATTCACACACACACTTAGCTCAAGAAACTCCATACCTTACTTCCGCCTCGTCCACCGAGACACGGAACAATGACAGCCGTTACCAAGAGACCTCTCGAGGAGCCTCATGAGGACCGCAAAGTCAAAGTCTTCAAAGTGAAGAAGCAATCATCGCCTACTCCATCCCCCGCCAACTTCACCACAATCATGCGCCCACAGCTCGCCCTCATCGAATCGTCCAACCGCACCCCCTTTGAGAAGCAAGTATGGTCGCTCCTCTGCCAGATCCCGCGGGGCAGCTTCTCAACCTATGGTATCATGGCCGCACATCTAGGATCTTCCCCACGAGCGGTGGGTAATGCACTGAGACGTAACCCATTCGCCCCGGACGTGCCGTGCCATCGCGTCGTGGCTACTGGGGGCGCACTGGGCGGGTTCAAGGGAAAGTGGCCTAAGGATGGCGAGGGCATTACGATTGACGAGAAGAAGAAGCTGCTGAGAGGCGAGGGAGTGAGGTTGGACGACAAAGGCAAGGTTATTGGGACGCCGTTTGGAGGGTTTACATGATGATTGAGCGATGTGGTTAACGAGGGAGTGTGGTCTGTATATTGAAGTTTATGATTGACTGCAGGCTGTAGTGTTTCTAGACATGTTTGTTGAGATCAATATTGGTTAAAGAGAACTGTATCATCAATGTCATACACACATACTCTGTAAGTGGACATCTTTATCCATGTGGACCTCTCGTACAAACTCTCGGTCAACAACACAGCGAACAAGCCTAGTGTAGCCGAAACCCGGAGACCATCAGGGCTTCGATGTCGTTTTATTCGTTCCCTCACCTTGAGAAGCACAAATCGATTCTCCGGGACGGACTTGTATGACCGATTTACGATAATCGGTGGTCTTGTGCCGGTGAACGGCTGGAATAGGCTTGGCGGTTAAGTAAAAAAGTGGATGTTCCAATCTGCGCGGCAGCTGGATCATGGTCACCGACAGTAACGAGGTCTCGAGAACAGCTGTTGAATGCCATGAATGTCATGTCATATCGTGTCATGTGCATGTACCATGAGCGCGGAGAAGCTGTATTCTCTAAGACATCACCGAGGAGAGAGACATTATTCACAAGCAATAATGCATGGAGGAATTTACATAGTGTAGCAACTTACACCGTTCAACTTTTGGTCTTTGGCCCTTCCGCGGCTAGGAGAGGCTTTATCAAAGAGCGCCAAAGCCAACCCAAAAATACGGTATCAGAGCTTTTTCTGGGGCCCAACTGTAACTGGGCTCAGCGAGTTGTCGTCACTTTCTCCTCGGTCAATGTCTTTTTCCGACTGGCTACTGACCTCTAGCCCGACAAATCCCGTGCCCGTGCCAGAAAAGAGTGGAGTGGGGGACCTAAAACAGGCCTGCATTTTTGGGGGGCTCTTGGGGCCCGGGTGGTCTGTCTGGCGCTCCTGATTGAGCAGCAGCGTAGCTTCGTGGATTTGGTTTTCCTCGTCATCCGAAAACCTCTTTTTCTACCTCCTGTGACGATCTAAACCGACTCTCTTATTCCTCTCACCCCCATTTCTCATCTCGAATCTCCCCTCACAATCCTCTCCCCTCTTCCCCCACCGTCACAATGTTCAAGCTCGGCCGCAGTCGCGCTGTGGCTTCGGCCCTCAACGCCTCCAAGGTATGTACTATCCCACATATCTACAAACAAGCTTGGCTTCGATTCGAGATGCATGTGGCCTGTTGCTAACCTTACCTCACTATTTCCCCAGGTTGCCTCCCCTATCGCTCGATTCCCCGGCGTTCAACAACGACGAGCTCTGAGCATCCACGAGTACCTCTCTGCCGACCTCCTCCGACAGGTAAGGTTTTGTCTGCTCGTCTCCCCTTTTTGCGACTATCCTATCGACACTACGAATAAAAACAATGGGACCGCCCTTATCATGATCTTATCATGGGTTCGCTAACAATATCACCTCAACAGTACGGCATTGGTGTTCCCAAGGGTTCCGTCGCAAAGACTGCCAAGGAGGCCAAGGAAATTGCTGAGAAGATTGGCAACGATGATATGGTTATCAAGGCCCAGGTCCTGGCTGGTGGCCGAGGAAAGGGTACCTTCGACAACGGTCTCAAGGGCGGTGTCCGTGTTATCTACTCCCCCCACGAGGCTGAGATGTTCGCTCAGCAGATGATCGGCCACAACCTCATCACCAAGCAGACCGGTGCCGCTGGCCGTCTCTGCAACTCTGTCTACATCTGCGAGCGCAAGTTTGCTCGTCGTGAGTTCTATCTCGCCATCCTCATGGACCGTCAGAACCAGTGCCCCGTCATTGTCTCGTCCTCTCAGGGTGGTATGGACATTGAGACCGTTGCCAAGGAGACCCCCGATGCCATCAACACCAACTACATCGACATCAACGTTGGTGTGACCGACGAGATCGCCCGTGAGATCGCTACTAAGCTCGGATTCAGCGAGCAGTGCATCGAGGAGGCCAAGGACACCATCCAGAAGCTCTACACCATCTTCAAGGAGAAGGACTCTACCCAGATTGAGATCAACCCTCTCTCTGAGACCTCCGACCACCAGGTTCTCTGCATGGACGCCAAGTTCGGTTTCGACGACAACGCCGATTTCCGACAGAAGGAGGTCTTCGAGTGGCGCGACACCACCCAGGAGGACCCCGATGAGGTCCGCGCTGCCGAATCCAACCTCAACTTCATTAAGCTTGATGGTGATATCGGCTGCCTTGTCAACGGTGCCGGTCTTGCCATGGCCACCATGGACATCATCAAGCTGAACGGTGGTCAGCCCGCCAACTTCCTCGACGTTGGTGGTGGTGCCACTCCCGCCGCCATCAAGGAGGCTTTCGAGCTCATCACCAGCGACTCCAAGGTCACCGCCATCTTCGTCAACATCTTCGGTGGTATCGTCCGATGTGATGCCATTGCCACTGGTCTCATCAAGACTGTCGAGAGCTTGAACCTCAAGATCCCCATCATTGCCCGTCTCCAGGGTACCAACGTCGAGAAGGCCCACCAGCTCATCAACGACTCTGGTCTTAAGATCTTCTCCATCGATGACCTACAAACCGCTGCTGAGAAGTCCGTCCAGCTGTCCAAGGTTGTCAAGCTGGGTAAGCTACCTTTTAAACCCCCTAGTTATTCGTTGGTTCGGATTGCTAATACCTGCGCAGCTCGTGATATCGATGTCGGTGTTGAGTTCACTCTCGGTATCTAAACAGGACAATTATAAATATGTCAGATGAGCGTGGGTGAGAATATGATGTAATAACAACATATGAGATTGAGCTTCAGGAGGCCACGGTTCCGACCAAACCGAGAGCAAATCCAACAAACTCATGAAGGAGAGGGAGATGCGGGTGGATATTCCTGTTTTTAATTTAGCATGCATCGGCCCGTCTTGGAGCTCGTGGCTCACAAGACGTATGATTTCGGTGCTCTCGAATATGTCCGAATGGTTCCATAGAAGGACGGATGATTCAAAGGATGGAAGGGGAATATGGTCTCCAACAAGATGATTTTTCGCGTATCCACGCCCTGCAACTTTGCATTGTGTTTATGTTGCTGTAGTATCCGTGTTTGTGACTTGTCTGTTCCTGACCTTTGCTTGGATGTAAAATTCAAGGAGGCTCCAGTTTCCAGAGATATCAATACTGATGGGGCGGATGATCTGAGTAGTGAGGGAAACGACACAGGAATTCATGTACGTATAGGGGTCGACCTCGATGTTTAATCAAGAGAGGGCTGGTGGCACGTTCTGTTTCTTCCACCTCGACTGGTGTCTTGAAAGATCTAACGTGGGATGAGTGGTGGATGGTATAGCAAGCAAGTCGATGGGTTTGAGAGGAAACATGAACTGAGGAAACACCTCGTCCCTTACGAGTTAAGGCATTGTCTGGTTATAAATCTAAACCCAGAGTTTAGTGGGCATATGGCCTTGTAAGTACATGAAGACGGTTGGATGGTTCGGTCCAGACTCGGCTAATAGACATCTCGGATGTAAGGGTCCAGTTTCTTGCATCGTCTCAGAGCCTCAGGTTTAGACGAAACGTCAGGGACCGCCTTTCCATTTCACGTTTTTGTGAAAATGTTAAGAGAAAAGATAATAATCTGAACTCTATGGCAACGAAAATGATGCTTCTTGGAAGCCAGTGGCTCCCTATCCAAGAACCAACAAGCAGTGTTTGGGAAGGATGTTCGAAGCCACACCTGCGTGGGTGAGGCTTGGCGATCTTTGACACACACCACACCACAACTTAAAGTCAGCCTCAACTTTCAAGACTCGACCGACCCCTTTTGCATACCGTGACTTTTTTTTCCCTTCTCGCCTCTTGTCCACGTAACCAAAACAGGTTTATTCATGACTCACCATTATGAAGAAACCGTGACTCAAAAAGCAAACAGGTTTATCATGCCGCACTTACTCCTTAAACTTATCCTCGGTTATTCCTCAGCCCAACATACAGGGAGACCCACGTCGACCTGAAAAAAAGCGACGAAAAAATCTCCTGACGTTGTTGGTAGATAAGACGGTATCTCATCCGGGTTGAGCCGCAAGCTACGAACCAATAGATGACGCTTGTTCCTGGGTTTTTCGGGAATTGCGTCGTTC